TGCATGTGGATTTTTAAGTTAAAAAGAATGCATGGAAGATTTATGCATGATGGACACTTGGTGACAGTTAGACTAAAAAAAAGAGAAAACATAGTTGCACGTAATGTCATTGGCCAAGGAGGAGGCCAAATGGAAATTAAGATGGAAAAGTTGTTTGAAAGACCATTGGGAGCAAATAAGGTGGGATTAAGTAGAAATGAATAAAAGAATGGATATGGATAGTAAAGAGGATTTCTAACCAATGTGGAAGAAAGGAAATTGGTGCATGAAATCCTATTGGTTGGAAAAATGGCCAAATGAAAATAAAAGGTAAACGTGTGCCTGAAATTTGATTGGTTAAATGGGTGGCCATATAAATACCAAGTTTCAAGGAGTAAAAGAAATGTGAATTGGCCTTGGTGAAGCTTGAGAGAATGGGCCATTGAAAGAGGAAAAGAAAGAAGAAAGTGTTTTGAGAGCTCCACCTGAGAGGAAGAAAAAAGGAGGAAAAGAGAGGACATGGAGCGAGGCTCGGGTTTGTGAAGATTCAAAAGAAACCGTGGGTTTCCAACTTCTTCCTTATTGAGCCTTGATGCTTACTTTCCATTCAAACTGTAGATTGGAAGCTTGAAGGAGATGTGTGGCTTGGTTTCAAGATCCAAGTGGGGAAAGGTAAGAATTAAGATTTTAGTTTGAATATGTTTTGAAAACCATATGGTAACATAAGAAACATTTTATGGCAGCAAGATCTTCAAAGAATCAAAAGACAGGATGCATGCATGTTGATTGTGCACAGGTATACGGTGATTTGAGACAAAGAAATGACAGGTAAGTGTTCTTGACCTTGAGTTTTATGAATGGAAAGAAAGATAGAACATTTGTTGATGATTTGAGTTTGTGGCAGCAATGGTGAACAATGTTATGAGAAGATATTGAATTGCATGTAGAGTTCAAAGCGATTTGGAAGTTAAGCATGCATTGTGGGTATATTATGGTACATTAGGTTCGACTAGTTGAAAATTAGTGGTTGCATGT